CAAGTCGAGAGAGGTCACCCGGATATGGTTCCCCCTAGACTGCGGTTAAACAGGATTGTAATTTACCAAGTTCAGGTTCAATGATAGTTATACCGCGGGAGGTTCTTAAACAGTCTGAAGTCTCGACTAAAGGTCTCCAGACCTCTCAGTCTGAGTCTCCAGCGGGCGACTAACCTCCACCGGAGTAACCAGATTGAGGCCCTAACGAACCAAACCTCCACTACCGAAGTAAATTCGGTACAGAATAGTGAATTGACTTCTCGACTAAAGTCGCCAATTCACTACCTTTAATCAAGGGTGCTCTATCAACCTAGGCAGATATTCTCTTTCTAGGTTAAAGCAGAACCAACAGGAATTTGATCAGGATTCATGTCATTCAACAAATCAAACCTCAATTGAACATAATCAAATCAAAGAATCAGTACTTGGGTTCATACAATCAGACCTAGCATACAAATCTAGGGGTTCTTCATACCTAGGTGAATAAGAAAGTTACCCCATAGAGAGAGATGGAAAATCTAGCTCAGATGCGGAAACCATGGAAACCATACTATGAAGGATGGGAATCTGCTTCTGGCACTCAATCAGATCTTCTCCAAGCTCAAGCCGCGCTCCAATGGTGATGGAGATCGATCAAGGACACTTGCAGAGTTAGGTTTGTCACTTTCTCTCTCTAGGTATCGCTTTTTCTCTCTAAAACTCGGTACCCCCACTCCTTTGGCTGGAAATTGGGTTAAAACCCAGAAATTCCCGATCACATAGCCAGGCCACACGGCCGTGTGACTTTCCCAGCTGCCCGTGTGAGTTGTGCAAAACACAGCGTTTCGATAAGTGGACTTCAGCCATCCTACACGACCACAACCACACGGTCGTGTGGATTTCCAGGCTGCCCATGTGAGTTCCCTGGAATTTCCACACGGCCACAAGGGGTCCCCTACACGGCCTGTGTGATTTTGCCCGTGAAATTTGATGTCACACGGCCAGGTCACACGGCTGTGTAGGTTTTTAGGCGTGCCCGTGTGGCTCCATCAGCTTCTCGCCAAATGTCCAATCTTCTTCCAATCGACCCCGAACTCGTTCCCAAGCCTTCATTCACGTACTAGGACCTGAAATATCACAAACAAGAGCAACCTAGCGTGAAATCAGCCTAAAACGCGAGAATCGACATCTCAAACGGCTCAAGAATAAGGGTAAAAACATGTGCAGTCAATGGTATATCAAATTCCCCCACACTTAACCGTTTGCTTGTCCCCAAGTAAACCTAACTCAAACCAATGCAACTCTCCAGACCTCTATAGCAACAAACAACCCCGATCGTCGGTTGAGGATTTCCTAGATCATATAGCAGCTTACGAGGTCAACTGGTCTTCTAAGACGTTCCCTATCTCTCTCAATGCGAGTACTAGACTCAAACCAGGATCATGAGAAGAAGTGGAAGTAAGACAGTCAGTTCATGGATAAAGGGACTCACACCATTCACGACCAAGGATTCGTGGTACCGGGGTGCTCTTTCACTTCATTTCACCATTGGGACCCCTTTTTCTCACTTTCCTTTACGCATTTTTTCCTTTTTCTTTCATTTGGCGGGGTTCCAACTGCAGTCTTTTGCACGGTCGACCCTTATTAGTCGAGCAAGAGCAATTTCTGTACATCTGGCGCTCGCCAGAGTACCTTTTTAACTCCTTTTCCTCAACTCGTGTGGAGGGTCAATGAAATTAAGGGTGGTCGAAAGCTCTATCCGTGCCCTTAAAATACATCTTCGAGTAGGCAAACCGTTCAACGGGTGGAAGTTTTACTTGTACTAGAGACAACTTAGTTTCACCTTGTAGGAGTACCCCACTAAGGATCACTAAAATCTCCTCCAAAACCCGATTTTTTGCAATGAACGGCACCACAAACGTTGGGCTTACCCCATGTTTAAGATTTTGATGATTTCGACATGGAGGACCAACTGCTTTTCATTTCTCACATGAGCGCCCTGTTCGATACACGAGTCCATAACACAATCCAAATAGAGTCACCATTATCACATGAATTCAACGGTCCTAGCTCCACTAATTCACAAAATCAACTGGCACATCAGAGAGCCAGATAGGAAAAATCTTATACTTCAACATCCTCCATAGTGCTACACTACCTCCCTAGGTTGCACATTACTATAAAGACTGTCAATTCAAAGCATACTGAGCTAGCAATTTGCAAGGAAACACGTACTTGGAGCCCTCAAATTTAAAAATTTGGATAGTGGACTAGGCTCCAAGCACACAAACAGATCTAATGCAGTCAAAAGAGAAACACCCTCCCCCACACTTAAGTTCGACATTGCCCTCAATGGAGAAGAGGGAAGGATAATGGGAACGATGTTACCGGTGTGCATGGACTGCATGAGACTGGAAGCGGACCAGTCTGAGTGAAGAGGACTGGAGAGGGGACCAGTCAGGGACACATGCACAGGTAAATAGAACAGAAGAACTCAAACACAATACGTTATGTCCAATGGTCAGCCCAATAGTACATCATCCAAAACAAAAGAAAACAAACCAAAACCAACCAGTTTGCAATCCGATCCAAAACAAAAGAAATAAATGCAAACCGTGGTGGGGTTGCCTCCCCACAATCACTTATTTACCATCTTTTAGCTGGACGCCCATGGTGGATACTCAGCAGGGTGCAAGAATAGGTGCCTCCAAGAGCGGATCCACATCACTCTTGAGGTACAGCTTCAGATTGTGGCCATGCACTCGACGGGTGCAACCACCAGCCTTGGTCAGCTCGACCTGGCCATCCGGCAAGATGCAGACAAGTGAGTACTCAGATGGCCAGGGTGGTCGTGGTGCAGGAGGTGGGACCAGCTCATAGTGGTCTCCACCTTTCTTCCGAGCAGGCTTAGCCACCTGCGGCTTCGGCCGCCACTCCTCCTTGAGCTTTTTATTTGGAGGTGAGGTTTAAGGGAGTGGCGGCGAAGGCATGAGAGGGGAGTCCTGCAAAACGAGAGGCACAGAGGGGTACACGACAGGCTCGTGTACCTGGTGAGAAATAGCATGCATAGGTGCGACAGCAGGCATATCACAATGATCTAATTCAGCCACAGAAAAGTAGCATGTTCATTCCCAGCACGCAATATCAGTTTACCACTATGCACATCAATAAGTGCCTTGGCGGTGGCAAGAAATGGTCTACCCAGAATCAAAGGCACATCCACATCCTCATTTATATCTAGAATAACAAAATCAACAGGATATGTGAATGCGCCTACTTTAACAAGCAGATCTTTTATGATACCCCTAGGATGCACAATAGAGCGATCAGCTAATTGAATGCTCATCCTAGTAGGGCTAAGTTCACCTAGGTCGAGCTTTTTAAATAAATTGTACGCCATGACATTTATGCTAGCGCCTAGGTCCGCCAAGGACTTCCCTACATGCATGCTGCCAATATCAAGAGGGATAGTGAAACTCCCTAGGCTTTACACTTTTCGGGCATCTTGTTCTGTAGGATAGCAGAACAATCCTCGCTCAGCATCACTGTCGAAAGATCCCCAAGTTTCTTCTTGTTGCTGAGGAGATCCTTCATGAACTTGGCATACTTGGGCATCTTCGAGAGTGCCTCCATGAAAGGTATGCTGACGTTGAGCTGCTTCAACATTGCCATGAACTTGGCAAACTCAGTCTCGAGCTTATCTTTATGTAGTCGAGTGGGGAAGGGAAGCTGGGGTACATGCTCCTTAACCACTGGCTGTGGCTTGGGAGCAGGGGCTTCCTTCTCCACCCTCACTTATGCATCATCGGCTGGAAGTGCTGAAGCAGGCAGTGGCTCTTCCTCCCTAGCTTGGGCAGGTACCGCCGATGTGGACTTGGCACTCCTGGTGGTGATGGCATTCAGCTGCTGGTGCGGCTCCTGTGGATTGGGGATAGTAGTGGCAGGTAGAGTTCCCGGGGCCCAGGTATTATTCTGACAAGCTATTCCTCCAAGCTGATACTGGAGGTCCTGCAGTATAGCACCTGGTTCCTCTGACCTACCTCCAGCGAGGCGATGCTTTGGTCTATCCGGGTAAAATTCGCCTCGTTGGTAGTCATGAATGCCGCTAGAATGTTTTTCAGCTCCGTCATCTGATTATCTGGAGCCGGAGCTGCTGCTGGCTTGGCATACTGATGCTGAGGCTGCTGGAATGGTTGCCCCTACCTAGGATGGTAAGGCTGCTGCTGAGGGACTGGCCCCTGTCTAGCCTGGAAAGGCTACCTCTACTGAAAACCACCTGCTAGTGCTGGGAAACCAGGTGGTTTAGTGGTGTTGTTATTCCAAGCGAAGTTGGGATGCTGGCGCCACCCCTCATTGTATGTATTGCTGTATGGGTCAAGGCGCCGAGCATTGGCGATGAAGTCCAAATGCTCTTGGGGGGTAGAAGACTCCCGCATAGCCTGGCAGTCTTGCACCAGGTGGCTTGAGCTCTCACACCACTGACATTGAGCTACCGGAGGTCCGCCCTGACCCCTGCTCGGATTAAGACTGTTGTGCTGCTTCAATGTCTGCACTAACTCAGCCACCTGCTGCTCGAGCCCGGACCTGGCCTCCATGGCGTGCACACCACGATCCCGGGAATTCCTACCTCTGGTGCTCTGCCCCCAGGAATGATCTCTGGCAGCCAAGGTACTGATCATCTAGTTCAGTTCGGGTGGAGTCTTAGTAAGAATATATCCCTCCTGGGCATAGAGACACAATCACCCTCTGGCTTTCCGGAGAGAGAGCACTATAGAAGTTCCCCACGGTGAATGCATCACTGAAACCATGATGAGGCACTGCCAGAAATACCCCGAGTACCGTTCCCATGCATCACGAAGTGACTCGTCTGGCTCTTGGCGGAAGTGAGTGATCTCCCGCTGGATCTCTATGGTCTTCGGTGCTGGATAGTACCTGTGCACGAACTTTTCAGCTAGATCATCCCAAGAAGTGATGGAAAATGGGGGCTAGGTCTCCAACCACCTCTTAGCATGCCCCGCTAGAGAATGGGGGAAGAGGTGAAGGTGGATTGCGTCATCAGGGACACCGTTTAGCTTGAACTCGTTCGTCAGCTGCAGAAAACGGGAAAGATGCACCCTTGCCTCCTCATCCTTCAAGCAATGAAACTGGATAGAGGATGTAATGAGTTGAATCCAGCATGGCTTGATCTCGAAGTTGTTCGCTGGAATGGGCGGGTAGAGGATGACAGGGCGGATATAAGCAATCCGTGGAGTGTAGTACTACTCCAAGGTGGGACCCGGCGGCGGTGGTGGTTGATGCGGAACCCCATCTACCCGGGGTATGGGGTTGTTCCCCAAGATCTGATTCACCGGGGGAACCTGGAGAGGTATCCCCTGTCGCGAGTTATGGTATCCTTCCATCTAGTACTCTTCCTCAGAATCGCTGCTTAAGTGGCCGTCTATGCGCTCCTCCGTAGCCAGTCTAGCTCGTTGTTGTCTCCTAAGTTGGCGACAGGTGCGTTCAAACTCCGGATCCAACGGCAGTAAACCTCCTGACTGGCTACGGGTCATGCACTACCTGCACACAGTCAAGCAGTAAACCCGTGAAGGCACAAGTGTGACAGAGCAAACAATGCAAAAAAGAAAAGATAAATTAACAGAATTCACATTTCTTCAACAAACTAGCCGTCCCCGGCAACGACGCCAAAAACTTGACTCGCTCCTACTGTCACTCTAGAAAATGGCCAAGTGTAACCACCTCCTAAAGCGTAGTATAGCGGGTTTGGGTTTTAATATCAACCCGGGTCCTAGATGTGATGACTACTCCGTGAGTTCTTATTATTTAGAAGTGAAACTTTAGTGAAGGTCCAAACAAGCAAACAAGCAAAGCAAGTAAAAAGGTTGTTTTCAAGTCGAGAGAGGTCACCCGGATATGGTTCCCCCTAGACTGCAGTTAAGCAGGATTGTAGTTTACCAAGTTCAGGTTCAATGATAGTTATAATGTGGGAGGTTCTTAAACAGTCTGAAGTCTCGACTAAAGGTCTCCAGACCCTCTCAATATGAGTCTCCGCGGGCGACTAACCTCCACCGGAGTAACCAGATTGAGGCCCTAACGAACCAAACCTCCACTACCGAAGTAAATTCGGTACAGAATAGTGAATTGACTTCTCAATTAAAGTCGCCAATTCACTACCTTCAATCAAGGGTGCTCTATAAACCTAGGCAGATATTCTCTTTCTAGGTTAAAGTAGAAACAATAGGAATTTGATCCAGATTCATGCCATTCAACAAATCAAACCTCAATTGAACATAATCATATCAATGAATTTGTACTTGGGTTCATACAATCAGACCTAACATACAAATCTAGGGTTCTTCATACCCAGGTGAATAAGAAAGTTACTCCATAGAGAGAGATGGAAAATCTAGCTCAGATGCGGAAACCATACTGTGAAGGATGGGAATCTGCTTCTGGCACTCAATCAGATCTTCTCCAAGCTCAAGCCGCGCTCCAATGGTGATGGAGATCGATCAAGGACACTTGCAGAGTCAGGTTCGTCACTTTCTCTCTCTAGGTATCGCTTTTTCTCTCTAAAACTCGGTACCCCTCTCCTTTGGCTGGAAATTGGGTTAAAACCCAGAAATTCCCGATCACACGGCCGTGTGAATTTCCCAGCTGCCCGTGTGAGTTGTGCAAAATGCGGCGTTTCGATAAGTGGACTTCAGCCATCCTACACGGTCACAACCACACGGCCGTGTGGATTTCCAGGCTGCCCATGTGAGTTCCCTGGAATTTCCACACGGCCACAAGGGGTCTCCTACACGGACCATGTGATTTTGCCCGTGCAATTTGATGTCACACGGCCGTGTAGGTTTTTAGGCGTGCCCGTGTGGCTCCATCAGCTTCTCGCCAAATGTCCAATCTTCGTCCAATCGACCCCGGACTCGTTCCCAAGCCTTCATTCACGTACTAGGAACTGAAATATCACAAACAAGAACAACCTAGCGTGAAATCGGCCTAAAACGCGAGAATCGACATCTCAAACGGCTCAAGAATAGGGGTAAAACATGTGCAATCAATGGTCTATCATTACCAATACACTTGGAAGAGCAACCAGGAGTGTATAGGGCGTATTGAGGAAAGGCTCGATTGAGGCTTATATTCACCATCCTGGTTCTAGTTATACAACAGTGTCATTATATTCAATGAATTACCTCTTGAATATGATCACATCCTTTAAGATTTGAGTTTGAAGGAAGTCGAGGCAAAGCTAAAGCTTGTTCCGATTTGATGCCCGCATGACGCAATAGAGGAATGCAATGATATTATCATTAGAATATGGGATGATGGAGGAAAATGTCAAGAAAGAGTAGCAAAGTGTGAGAAAGAGCTGACGAGTTGGGCAAAACAAATTTTTGAAGAACAAAATAAATGGTCCAAGGATATTGAAAGAAGATTAGATGATATTTTGAAGTTGGAAAAAACTAAAAGCATTGCAATTGAAGATAAAGAGCTAATGAATGAACTCGCTTCCATTTGGAAAGACGATGAGCTTTTATGGAGTCAAAGATCAAGATTTAATTGACTTAGGGAAGGCGACCAAAACACTAAATTCATTCACGCTTCTACTATGCATTGAAAGCTGAGAAACAAGATTACCATGCTAAAAGATGACGATGGTAATGATATTACAAAGCCAAATGACATTATCAATCTTGTTACGAGCTTCTACCAGTCTTTATTCATAGAGACCAATAGCATTGACAGCTCACAGCCTTAGATGGTTTCCCCCAACTTGTGTCGATGCCATGAATGAAGAGTTATGTAGTGACCCTTCCATTGAAGAAATTGAAAGTGTTGTCTTTGATCTCGGGCCTACGAAATTCCCTAGTCCTTATGGTTTCAAGGGAAGTTTCTTCTAGAAGTATTGGAACAAAGCTGGTCCTGATTTCTGCAAAGAAGTGTTGGAGTTCTTTCAAACAGTTGTAATGCCCCAAGGATGGAATGACATACACATAGCTCTCATTCCGAAGGTCCAAGATCCGGGAAGGATCTCTCAATTCAGGCCTATTAGTTTTCGTAATTTCATATACAAGATGATTTCCAAAATCATGTCTAGCATAATGAAGAAATGGTTGTCTGGTTTGGTGTATAAGATGCAAGCGGGCCTTCATGGTTGGAAGACTCATTCAAGATAATGTGATTATTTTCCACGAGGTGCTTCACCATTTTAAGAACCGACAATTTGGGGATTGGGACATGATGATCAAATTGGATATGCGTAAATCATATGATCTTGTGGACTAATATTGCTTGGATCAATAATGAAGGCCTATGGTTTTTTGGACAAGTGGAGAGGATGGGTGAATGCTTGCATTAGGACAACCAACTTCTCCGTTCTTCTTATGGGTGGTAAATGGTTAGTCGGTTATTGGTCTTCTTCTCTAAACGTTATTAAAGGGCTAAATGCCTAATCGGGTTGAGGAATGCAATATACTCAACCGAAGGTTGAGGAATGGTTCCCCCAGGTGGTTCATCAATCCTCCTTCAAGCTAGGGGATGGCTGGTTGGGAAGGTCTCTTTGGGACGAAATGGGCCAATAAGAATAACGTCCTTTGAGAGTTCGAGATGTAGGAGCGAGTCTTCGACTTTCGGTTCTGAGGATCTAATTTCCTGATGCCGTTGGGTACGGGTTTGGGTACCAGTGACTCAAGTCTTTCGCGAATAGATTATTGAAGAACTTTTCCTAACTGAGACCAATCTTTGTTCTCACCTATCTATGAACGAGGAGAATATACGAGGATACGCGGGCAACTTCCACGAAAGACCGGCAGCAGCCTATTCTTAATAAGAACCTATTCTTCTTACTTACTCCTCAAAAAAAAAAGCCAATCAGGTGAGAAAGAAGTGTGCGTCGATAGGTCACCGATCCAGGTAACCATAAAGAAAGAACCGCCGCCCGACTGAACTGAAAGGAGTATATCGAGGCTAGAGCTTGGTGCGCTAATAGGGGTGGATTCTCCCCCGGTTTTAGCATTCCATGCCATCCACAGTGCAAGGTAACTAGTTAGTGCGGCGTAACGAGTCTTATTAGTGTGGGTAACAACTATTTATTGGAAGTTAGCTACTTACTTAGAGAAAGAAGTTCCTTCCCTTACTATATATTACACACAGGCTTCCTCTATCCCTTCGAGCGGGGTAACGAACGCTACGCCCCTAACGACTCTTTTCTATACTATTCTGTAACATGTAATAGCTATCCCTCTATCCTAAAATGGCTAGTTTAGCATTGCTCGCTACGCCCCTTAGGTGCCTAAGCCTCCTGATCCTACTCCTACTCTTGCGCTAAGTCTTTGTCTCAATGACTGCTAAATCTCTTCCTTGGCTTAGTATAACTCCTCAAGAGATTTCTATACATTCCGCTAGCTCTTCTTTAACAGAAGCTATAGACTGCCCCATGTTCTGAATATTATGACGAATTTATATCCTGGTCCTGTCTTTGACAGAATTCCATCCTGCTTCGAGTTCACCGGTGATGTCCGGAGCAAGATCTATTTATTTGGGTAAGAAGGGGAAAGATAAGATTTCCTTCTTGGTTGGTTACATGCAGCCCCCGATGCTAATCCTTTTTCCGCTTCAACCTTGCATCCGCTTGCAACCAATAGGCTCTTTGACTGGAGCCAGGACCCTAAGCCTAAGGGCTGCACCACAAGTAGGACTTGATTCAATCAACTGTAGCGGTATCAATACTCCATCCCATGGCCCTTCCTTCTACGGCCGATCTAGGGTTGACTGGACCTAGCATAGCAGTTCGATAAGGTAGATCATAGAGAGGTAAGCTCCGTTTTAACCAGCAAGATAACATAACAAGCGAGAGACCCCCATTAAAAAGGTTTGGCGATTACCCACCGTCATTTAAAGGGAAATGGCGCTAGTTTACAAAGCAATCTAATAGGGGAAACTTCTTATACGCCTGTTTGATATAAGGGCTTGTTTGCGACTAGCAGTAGCTGGCAACGGTCTTTGACACATCTATTAGCTGAAGAGTAAGGCTGGTCTGTTTCCTCTCGTACCATGCTTGTTGAAAGCTCCTTGCCTGTAAACAGAATAATATAAGACATGATCAATAGCTCTTACAGAAGGCAATGTTCATTGACGAGGAATCAGCTAGAGAATCAGCAGTTACTCTTCTTACTGTTCTCGAATCCCCAGCTATTGACTCAGCTGCTATTGAATCCAAGCCGGTTAGAATGGACCCTTTTGAATGGGAAGAGGAAAGGAGATAGAGCCACGAAGAAAAGAAAACCTTCATAAACACGAGATGAGACAAAAAGAAAGAGAGATCGATTCATTAGGCCTTCTAGAGATCGAGATGTGAGAAAGAGTCACTGACTTAGGGTATCAAAAAAAGATAGTACAGACAAAACCATTAGAGCTAAGTCCGGATAAAAGGAAGAAGACGGCGCGTCAGAATCAGTTCTTGGAGGAAGACTCGCTCTTGTCTCTTTCCCGGCAATGTCAGATCAGGAAGAGCTGGCTTTACTTTATTATTGTCTTTCCTTTATTCTATGCTCTTTAGTGAGAAGAATAGATAGAAAGAAAATGGGCTACTTTCTTCCTTCGAGTTCGATCCCCGTACTGTGCCTATTCACTCTTCCTAAGGCTTCCGAGAAGGGATTTATTCTATTCACAGACAGCTTTCCTTCTTGTCCACGCGCTATGAGACAGATTCACAGTAAGCAAGCTCTTGCTTATCCCCCCTTGACATCTATTCATGCTTGGCACACTAAGAGAGGAAGACAGGATGACGATTTCTTTTCTTCCAGCTTCAAAGCCCAAAAAAGCCGTCTTTCGTGGGGTTGATGTGTGATTGCCTATTGATGGACTTTCTCGGGCCTTTTGGCGTATCCTTTTTGGTAGGTTTTTACTAGAAGAGGGAGTGTCGAGTCACATAAGAAGCGATTATTCTTGTTGAGGGCGCCTCCGCCTTTGCTTAGTGTGAAAGGCTTTGGAAAACTCTTTTGCTCTAACTCGGATAAGGTTCTTAAAGTAGCTGATGATCTCTTGTTCACTGTACGTACTGAAAAGAACAACAGAAAGCCGTAGCCAAATAGATCTTGCTTGAAGAAAGGAGCGTAGTTAGAAAAGAAAGGCAGAAAGACTCCTTTCATCACCCATCTTGGCCTTATGTTTCTCTGAGCCGCGAAAGCTCTCTCTTCTCTCTCTTACTTAATTAGTAGTTTGCTGTAATAAGAAAGGTGTTGCTATTCAACGATGCGGCAAATCATCTATTCCAGAAAAACTCACTTAACACTTTCTCATTCACACCGCCCGACTAGTGCGCAATAAAGACCAAGGCAAAGCCTCTTATTTCGAGTTCGACGAATTCTGAGGGAAGTGCTTATTCAATTGACCATGAGGCTCTACCCTTCCTTTCCTTACCGAATTCATTAACGGCGAAAGAGTCTCGCGCCAGGAGCGCTGCTGTAAGCAGTTATGATCTCAAGCACCTAACCTTTGTTGTGAGGACTTATTCGCCATCGGCCGGTAATACCCGATTCGCGTAAAGAGAGGGCGCCTTACTAAATAGGGGCACTTAGCTTTCCCACGGAGGTCAGTGAGAAGCTTGTAAGTTCTGCTTTAAGCTATGGGCGGCGATATAGAGGGATGAGGTGGTCGTACCGCTTCTGGGACCACGATATGCACCACCAGGGGCTGTTTTTTCGACAGGAGTTTGATACCCCAACAAAGCACTGCTTTTCTTCTGTGATATTTCCTTCTTCGTTTGTTTTGGGTCGCTCCATTACTCACTCCGCTATAAGAATTGAGTAAGCCGATCTCGACTTCTCATAGACTGAATTGTCAGAATCTGCTCGCAAACAAACTTGCTTCTTGCCCATGTACTCGTAAGGTATCCCTAAATCTTTAGCCTCTTCTTGATCAGGGTTTCCCCCTTCCTTTAGTATTTATAATAAATAGAAGCAGATATAGTGAACCGAAGGCCTTTTGACTGTTATAGTTTCTCTCTTGGACTCTTCTCACGAATTGGATTCGAACCACCACAACCAAGAAGGCCCTACTTGACCAAGCAAATAGTAGATCGTGAGTTATTAGGAACACACACCTCTATTAGGGGATCGGCTCGAACGCTGAACTTACCACTTTGAGCCCCCGATAGAAGGCTTTCCTAACAAAAGATGTCTCTCCAAAAGTCTTAAACCTAAACCTCCGAATCCGAATAATGTGCCGTGCTGATCCTCTAAGAAAAGTTAAGTTCTGCAGAGTCACAAAGATCTTGATCCCCAAAAAGACTAAGGTGGTTCCAAGGCGAGGGAGAGTCCCTGATGTGCCCTGTACCTGGTCCTTGCTATCTCTTCTACGGCTTTCCGCCTCCTCTTCAGAAGCGACATCCTTTTGGTGACTTTATGGGCTAAATCGAATGAACGAAACCAAAGAGTCAGATTCGGGAAATCGGTAAACTAACCTACGGGAGTCTTCAAATCCGGTGGAACCGAAAGAACGCGAAGAAGGATGGAATTTGCTTAGTGTGAAAGGCTTTGGAACTTGCTTGTTCTTTCGCGTCAGCCCTTGCTTGTTCGGGGTAGGGGATTCTTTCCACTCATCAACAGAATCGGGATCTGCTCCGCTACATCTACTTAATGGCTTTTTTTTCCGTACTTTCGAACGACTCTTGAAAGTCCCATAGCTTAGGGGTTCACTCCTGCTATTGGTTCAACCCTCAATCTTGGTAGTCGAATAGTGAAATACTAAGGTTAGAATGAGACTAAGATCAGGGAGAGGATGGAACGAAGTCACTCGACCAATAGTTTTATTATATGTCAGCCCGAAGGTTTATCATATGTTCGATCGTAAGGAGAAGGGCGAAGGAACGAATTTGCTCGCATCTTAATTAGAACAAGAAGGAGAGGAAGGGAATATGAGCACAAATGTTTATCATACGTTCAAATGAAGGGAGAAGGGCGAAGGGAGAGGGGATAAAAAAAAAAGAGCACGGAGAGGAGGAACTATCCCCCTAGACAATCTTTCTACGATGCTTTTGGGCGACTTCCGGCTTCATTAGTGGGGTGCAGCTCCCCATGGAGGTCGAAGGTTGATTGCGTCCCAGGAGTTTGACGACTACCGGAGCCCCCTATAAACTATGACCAGGTCTGGTTTTAGGCCCTGGAAAAGCCCAACCCTCGTGAGAATCTCGCGAATGGGCTTGGACGAATATCCGAAAACTCCTGATCGCCCTGAGCAGAGTACTCTCAGGTCTCAACCTCTTTTCTCGTCCAGCTTGAGATTGGCCAGATGGGCTTTTTCTTTTTTTTATTCGAAGTTCTTTCCGTCTAGTCTGGTTTGCTTCTTTGCGTTCACTCGCGGAGTTCTGGTTAGGTAAATTCTTTGACCCTAGTCAGTAGACTGGCCTTTCCTTGGCGATTGGATCCTTGAGTTCAATCAAATCGGATTTGGTATCGTAGTTTAGAGAAATGGCTGCTTTTAGGTATGATAAGTGACCCCCCTCTTTCTTAAGTCATTGAGAGAGGGGTTAGCTCCGCAGATGTTTCAGGAATAATGGCTGCCATTGACTTTCATTTGGTTAGAAGTCTACCATACTGTATCGAAAAGAATGCATGTTCATCCGGGCATTGAGAAAGAGGTCAATCATCTCCTTTTCAGTTGGAGGCGGAGCCACCTGAGCTGCCAAAGTCCTCCACCTTTGGGCATACCCCCGTTAAGGTCTCGTTTCTCTTCATCTCCATACTCTCAAGTTGAGACATGGTGGGCACCATGTCCTGGTTAGACTTGTATTCTTTCATGAAGGAGTCTGCCAAGTCGTTCCGCTTCTTCAACTTCGAGTGCTCCAAGGAGGTGTACCATCGCAACGCAGGCCCAGTTAAGCTATTCTGGAAGCTAAACACCAACAGCTGATCATTTCTTATGTGGGCCGCCATCTTACTGCAAAACATCATTAAGTGGTTCATGGGGTCCCGTGTGCCATCATATTTTTCAAACTCCGGCATTTTTCACTTTTCTGGGATCACCACATCCGGTATTAGCCACATGGCTGCTGCGCCGGGAGTAAGAACATTTGCTGATTCCAGGGCTTTAAGCCTGGCTTCAAATTCTGAGTATTTATTGGTGGCATCGTCACCATCCTGGGAGTCGGATCCGTACTGTTTTTCTTCCTCATACACATTGTGTGTAGGAGTAGGATAGGCAGCAGAGAGGGTATACTGAGTGGTTTGAGGATAAACTTGTGGAGCGGGAGGTGTCTGGAAAGAAGGGGCAGCAGAAAAAATGGTAATGGTTGGTTGTACTGGTGCAGGTGGTGGTGGAAGGGTTTGTTGGGTAGAAGTGTAGGGATGTGACTCAAATGGCAGCTCTCTCTATTTTGATTGATCGGTGCATCGGGGTGCACTGGTTGACGCGGAAGGCCAGCGTTTAACCATAAACGATATATACCCTGGGTGACCCAGATTCCTCTTCACCAAGGTCTGTGGGAGCTTTAAATAAGGCCGAGAGAGAGATGGAGGAAAGAGAAAATAGATGGGTGGAAATCCTGGAACTTGAAAACCTTTTAAAAAAAAATACCTTGTTAAACGAGAGACTTTTTCTTCTCGAGAGCGAAAAGATGGAAAAGGGGAAAGTGCCATAAAATTATGTATTTTGGTTGTTTACAGTTTTGATCAATGTAGTTATTTTTCTTCATAAGAAATCCTATTTGTTTTTTTATTATTACTAAAAGAAATCGAATCCTATCAAATCTTTCTATTTTTCCTTTGAATTACTCATATATCCTCAGAATTAAATTTCGCATCGGAAACCATTCTAGGAGAAGTTCGAATCCGTTCCGTTCGGATATTGATCGGTCTTGGTTTGACATGGTTTACGCGTTACTGGTTCCCGGAAGAGTTAATATCTCCATTAGCTAAACCCCTTCTTACCCTGCCTTTGGACTCGTATTTTGTTTGTACACAATTAACGGAGGCCTTTTCGACATATGTTGCAACGTCTTTAATAGCATGCTCTTACTTCGTCTTTCCTTTAATAAGTCATCAAATTTGGTGCTTTTTGATCCCCAGTTGCTATGGGCAACAAAGGACGAAATACAATCGATTCCTCTATTTAAGTGGTTCTCGCTTCTCCTTGTTCCTGTTCCTAACTCCTCCCCGGGTAGTTCCCAATGTTTGGCACTTTCCATACTTCGTGGGTGCAACATCAAAAAATTCGCTCATGATCAAGTTACAACCTAAGATCTATGACTATATTATGTTAACTGTTCGTATTTCGTTCATTGCATCGGTATGCTCCCAGGTACCTGTAATTGTGATGCGTTTGCCAAAACCGAGGGGTCTTTCTATGGAAATCTCCACGAACAATTGTCATTTTTCTGGTTTTTCCGCTTCTCACAGCTGCTCTCTTTTCACACCTCCCGATATTTGGTGCCAAAACGTTGCTAGTTTCCTTATTTCTTTAATAATATAGTTGGCTATCTTTGTGGCATCGATTGTACAAGTTCGTGAAGAGGGCTGGACGAGTGGAATGGGAGAAAGCGGCTCGATCGACAAAAAAGAAGAATAGCCGTTATTTATTTATAATTGAAGAAAAGCGAATTCGTCGAAAGAAAGAAAATAGAGCAGTCGTGGGAAAAGAGGATAGGCGGGACAGACCAAACCCGGTTCGGATCACATGCCTTTGCTACTCTCTCTGTATAAACAGTCCCAGGGCCTTTTGGAGGTGGGTGCTACTGGCCTTTACTTTAAGTTTAAGGAGAGATGGGGACTTGAAAATGGGGTTGTGGAATGTGGATATCCCGGGAAGTAGGAATGCAAGAACTCAAGATTATGGGCGAGCACCAAGATTATGGGCACTATAGAATTGCCTCTGCAGATCTGCCCCTGCACTTTCAACGTTGCTCTACAAGTCATCAAACCGGCTTATTCTAAAACTTTCCAAGGCCCGCCTCACGGTATTCAAGTTGAGAGAGATAAATTGAACAAGTATGGTCGCCCCCTATTGGGCTGTACTATGAAACCGAAACTGGGCTTGTCCGCTAAGAATTACGGTAGAGCTATTTATGAATGTCTCCGTGGTGGACTTTATTTTACCAGATGATGAAAACGTGAACTCCCAACCATTTATGCGTTGGAGAGACCATTTCTTATTTTGTGTCGAAGCAATTTATAAAGCATAGGCCAAAAAGGGAAATCTAAGGGCATTATTTGAATGATACCGAGGGTACATGCGAAGAAATGATCAAAAGGGTTGTATTTGCCAGAGAATTAGGAGTTCCTATCATAATGCACGACTACTTAACAGTGGGATTCACTGCTAATACTAGTTTGGCTCAACATTGCCAAGATAATGGTATACTTCTTCACATCCATCGTGCAATGCATGCAGTTATTGATAGACAGAAGAATAATGGTATACACTTTCGTGAACTAGCTAAAGTATTACGTCTGTCTGGTGGAGATCATATTCACTCAGGTACCGTAGTAGGTAAACGTCGAAGGGAAATGAGAGATCACTTTGGGTTTAATTGATTTACTGTGTGATGATTTTATTGGAAAAAAATTGAAGCCATGGTATTTATTTAACTCGACGATTGGATCTCTTTACTAGGTGTCCTACTCGTGGCTTCGGGGGGTATTCACGTTTGGCATATGCCTGCTCTGACCGAGATCTTTGGAGATGATTCCGTATTACAATTTGGCGGTGGAACTTTAGGTCACCCTTGGGGAAATGCACCCGGTGCCGTAGCTAATCGAGTAGCTCTAGAACCATGTGTACAAGCTCGTAATGAGGGACGTGATCTTGCTCGTGAGGGTAATTCAATTTTTCGTGAGGCTAGCAAATGGAGTCCTGAACTGGCTGCTGCTTGTGAAGTATGGAAGGAGATTCAATTTGAATACGAAGCAGTGGATACCTTGTAATCTACTAATTGACATTTGTTCCCTTAATTGAATGAATTGCAATTAAACTCGGCCCAATCTTTTACTAAAAGGATTGAGCCGAATACAAAGATTCTAGTTCTATTCTATATTTTTTATAGATACATACTTAACTAGATATACAAGATCTTAAATACAAAATAGAAAACGAAGCGATTTAAACCTTTCTGTTGTTGTCTTGGATTCACTGTTAATTCTAAGTATCTCTAGGTGTATTCTTTTATATCCTGCATATGGGTCGAAAAAGTATCACAACATTTCGCCCTAGGGCAGGATAGGGCGTTAAGCTTTTTCAATTCAATTGAAGGGAATGATTAAAAAAAAATATCAAATTTACCTCAAGCTGTGGTAACTTCTAGATTGTATCTCCTTTTTTGGAGACAATTTCAGCATGAAATGAATAAGGAGAATCGGAGACCAACATTCAATTCGAGATTATCCTGCGGTACCAATCCGATGCGATGAGGAGCAACATACATAGGGCGGCGGCATCACTTGTATCCTCTACGGAAGAAGTTCCCCTTCAAATTCTACGGGAATTAATCCCAGGGCTTCTTACCTTTCGGGTTTTAGGCAAAATCCGCATTTGATTAAAGAATGTCCAGTACCTATCGACTTAATAAATGTAGCTCGACTCTCGAATGTTCCCCAGCGGAGTCGCCAACTGTCGCAACCGTCCCTCCGGGGGGGTCCGATGTCGTCGCGTCGGCTGTTTTGGGAGTCGCCATCGATCTTACTTGGAGTGGATCGAACACTCTTAGGATCAGCTCTAACCTTAGGGTCAGAACCGAGATATGGTCTGCGAAAATGAAGTTCTGGGTTCGGGAGTACGGTTACGTGTGGGGAAGTGAAATCACACCCCACAACGCCCTAAATCGGTACTACTTAAGTCGATAAGTTTCATATTAGTTGGGTGTATATTTAGTAATAATTTAGTAATTTTAGGGTCCCACTGGACCATTGAAGAAACTAAATCGTGTTAGTTGTAATTAAATTATACGTCCACTGACGTAAAAGATATAATTAATTGGTTAGTTGGACTCGAACCTTACCGGTTGCCTACGTACCCGTTAGACGGGATCAAAGTCCACGTAGTTCATTTGAACTTTGATAATTTTAATAATAACTTTCACCACGTTCCACTGAACGTAATTTTCCTATTATAATTTTGTTAATAAAACTCCATTTAGATGATTATAAGATTATGAAAAAAAAATGCAAAGATTTTAGTCATTAGGAAGTATTTTTGACGTATTAGAAAAGAAACAAGAGGAATTTAATCCGCATTCAACATTTCGTATTAAGAGCTTTAAACAAAATATAATTAAACGGGATGGTTGAAGTAACGAATGATGGACCAGCAGCCCAACTGGCTGGCCTACTAATCGTTGCGTCTCTGCCCCCGAGGACGCGGGTTCGAACCTCCTGCAGCATTTTATTTTTTGGTTTCTCGTTTTAGTGTAGAGATGGGGGAAGGGCAGCTTGGTAATTACTCAAAAGGACGGTGGCAAGGCCACGTAATTTGTTAGAAACCCTAAGGGCATAATAGTCATTTTGCACAAACAGGTATAAATTCTTCCCTAGAAACCCTAAGAGGCCATTGTGGCCGCCTCTCATCTCTCTTCTTCCCCTCTCACTCTCTCGTCTCTCCCAGAGGAACCCTACACTCTCAAAATCAAACCCTACATTCTCTCCCTCTCGGCCAAAGAAACCCGAACCCTAGCGTCGCTCAAGGCCGCCGCCGCCGCTCTCCTCTCTCGGCTCTCTCTCCCTCTCGGTTTGATGAACGCGAGAAACGACCCCGCTAACCGGATTGAAAAAGATCGATTTGAGTAAGATACTATCCTTGCATGTTTTATTTTTTGATTTTTTTTTTGTGAAAATCGAAAGATTTCTCATGTTTTTTTTTTGTTTTTGATTTGCGCGAGCGGAAGAGGAGACGGGCATCGGGTCTCGCCGCCGCCGACTACAACAGCAACAGGCGGGGATACCGCCGTCGGTCACTTGAAAATGACCAGAAGACTCTCGATCTAGGTGAAGCCGTGACATGCATGACCTTTTCTTCTATTTTCTTTTTTTTTTTGTTCCGAATTTACTAATTTTTCTGTTTTTATTTCCGGAGAAAACGTCCCAAACCGAGGGGATTTTTTCGATCTACCTCCTTCTACTCTCTCGGTGAGCTTCTCTTAAACATGCACGCTTAGATCTAATTTTTTTACATAAGACGTGATTTTAATCTTGATTTTTGTTTGGGTTCTTGATGTTGGACGAGGGGTGAAGGAGGGCGAAGACTGGCGGTGGTGTGACGACGTCACTCAGGTGGGGTTTTGGTTGTGATTTTACTTTTGATTTATTACTCCTTTGATCGAATCTTACCTCTACTCTTGTTTTGTCACAGGTTTTTAATTCGAAATTAATGTAGGTGAGCCTTTTTTTTAACTTAGATTATTTGGCTAAGATAAATTAAACTAACAGATGAAGGCATTGCTTGGTTTATTAATTTGGATTTGACGGATCTTAGACAGATTCGAGTTCTGGACTCCTAAAATTTCTATATGCATTTGGGTTGCAATTTTAGGTAGATCTGGGTTTTGCATGAGCATAGATTTGCTAGAGGGTAGCAATTAACTAGAACTAATTAATCTATATTTTGCCTAATTTGTGAGATCTGGTTTATTGGCAAGAATGCTGATTTTTAGTAAATTAGGAAAAGATTTACAGATCTGACTTTTGGTAAAATCGATTGTTTTGTATGCTTTGGACTCATAATATGCAAATCAGTTTAACAAAAGAAAAAAACACAATTAGTTTTACTTATAATAGGCTAGATCATTAATTATCACAGCCACTGCTTGTGATTTGGTAGACTATTACCTGTAAATAACTGCTACTGCTTGTGATTTTGGGTAGGTTATGGATAATGACACTGCTACTGCATGTAATTTAATTAGAAAAAGGATTTTTGATTAATTTGGAAACTGATAAGAGTTTGTGAATCGAATATTATTGTCTTTATAGTTGCCATAGATTTGGATTTGATTTTGTTTGTTGTGTATGATGATCTAGTGTTTATCAACTATTAACCTAAAAGTAAATATGACGACATAGTATAAGATTATAAGAGACTATCAATTGATGAGAAGAGTAAACAAGTGCTAAATTGGGAGAAGCTTAATGACATCACTACAAGCACATATTAAGAGTGCTTGAAATGAAAGATGGAAGTTGATACTAGTACTAACCTGAATTTCTAGGCCTAAGAATGGCCTTTTCCTGAATCAATCTTCAAATTCGCTCCTTCAATCTCCAATGAACTTCGGCTAAGAGCCAGAACCAAAAACTGTTTGGGATGTCAATATTTCTCTTTTTTGTAGAGTTTTTTCTTCTTCCATTCGTCTCCCTCAACAGAGAGCCCAATGAGCTCATTTAATAGCAAAACTATCCGCCACGTGTCACATGATAATTTGCCGTTACTGAAGCTGAAACTAGCGTGCTTCCTTCTGATTGGTCGAATTTTATGGCTGAATCTTAACCCTCCACCTGCAAAGTCGGTTGCTGAGTGGCTGTGTTGGAGAGCTCCACCTTGCTTGGTCGGCTCTGACTTGTCAGGGTATGGATAGGGTTGGCATATGATTTCGGGCCGAGCTGGCCGAAATGGGCCTAGAGATGTTTGCGATTTGGTCTTCGTCTGGGCTCGAAATGGGCCTCTTCCAGTCTTTCACTTGGGCCAAACTGGGCTCTGATTCTTGGTACTGATTTATGGGCTTGACCTTGTTGACTTTGAATTCTAGCTTGGGCCTGTCT